TTCAAACGACAAAAATCTCAACGTTTGTATAGTAATACAAACTCACACCGTATGAGAATGGGATGACCAATCGAGTTGGCCTAAATCGTAAACAATCCTTCGCAGCTAGGTAGACAACCTAAAGTTGAGCCCTACTAGCTAGCTCCAAACACAGATCACACCAGCACACAAAGGAAATGAAAGCCTTACAGACAAAAGCAAACACTCAGAAGAGTCTACTTACAGGAACAAAGAAAGAAAATTCAACAGAAACATCCAGCTGATGGAGAAGAAAGGTACTACTTCCACTCTTGGACTGCACCTCTTACTAAACTTCAGGTATCCAAGATTTCTAAAAAACTAGAGATTACGGCCTTTCCACGACCACTAAAGTAGATAAGTCGAGAGCTGGATTCTACTCTCATTTATCTATTTGTGGCTCAAAGAACAAATCTCCCACCACCAATCTGAGAAGGAAGCTCCCTGAAACACCCTACCATTCCACTGCAGTGGTGCTAGTTTCCAAGCTAGTTTAGCCTTCATACATTGCCAGAAAAGATGTTCAACATATTTTCTTCATCATCCCCACAAAACAGGGCAAACGACATTGTAGAGACATGAAATTCGTGCCCAATCAAATGGCGCCACGGAGAAATTAATTTATTAAAAATCAAGTTATATTTTCTATTTATATTTTAGGAATTTCCATAAATTTAATTCCTAAATTTAAATAGTTAATTAATTGATATTTTAATATTTTAATTCTTGACCAATCAAATAATGCCAAGTGTCAAATCTTATTCTTGGTAAATAAATCATATCTTCTAAAAGATCTTGGAAGATTTAAGTGGATCTAGAAGATCTTGAAAGATTTAAGTGGATCTTGAAGATCTTATGTGAATCATCATGGACCAATCAAATTGCGTCCTACGATTCTTAAATTTGGTAAGGATCTCCCTCCTACACCTATAAATAGGAGCTCTCCCTAATGTCAAAGAGACACCTCATAATTCATATTCAAGTTCAAGAGCTCTAGAGAATTCTCTCTACAAGTTTCAAAGTGTTCTTGAAGATTCGAAGCCGTTCTTGAAGATTCGAAGGAAGATTCAAGCACATCAAGCTCAAAACCGACGTTTAATCCAGAAACAAGCTACCAAGCTCCGAATTGCGTTCATGTTCAAGTTCAAGATCAATGTCTCTCGACGAGATTCAAGTGTTCTTGAAGATTTAAAGCAAGATTCAAGCGCGTTCAACCTCAAGACTAGCGTTCATTCCGGAAACAAGCTGCGAAGCCTCCGAATAACGTTAGTAAATTCAAAACCGACATGAAGAAGATTCGAGATCTACTTTGCGGCGAAGACCAAAGATTCGTGTTCTTCGCGTTCTTGGGATATTTTGACGTTTGATTCGGGAAAAAGCTTTTAAGCCCTCGGATTACGTTAATTCAAGTCAAATCAAGTCAAGGAGAAGATCAAGCCGAAGATTTCGCTCCAAGACTTAAAATTGTTCGCGAGAAGAATCAGAGGAATAATAGAGATTGTAACCCGCAATATTTATTTGATTCGACAAATTCATTTGAATAATATTTTTTGTGTTTTTAAATTATATACACAAAATTTGTTGTTACAAATTTTTGGCACGCCCGGTGGGACATCTCTACCTCTCATCTATTCTCCAAAGTTCCTCAAGTCACCATGACTAGCCACAAGATCGCCGTAGTCAAGATTCCTTCAACAAGTTCCTCAAGTTCCAACCTCGGCGTCGTTACAAGAAGCATGGCCAGGCAACTGCAAGCATCTTCGGAGACGGCTCCTTTGCACGAGGTGATTGGAAGTGATAAGCTGCATCTTACCCACGAAGGTGATGAAGACGACTATGCTTCTTCAACTCCTCGTTCATCATCAAGTTCTTCATCAAGCTCAAGTGTCGCTCCGGCTATGACGACCAATGCTTCAACTCTTGAAGAGCACATCGCAAGCTTTAACGAAGGTTATTGAAAGGCTCGGAAAGAAGGTCGAAGAGCAAGACTCTCAAATCTCAAAGCTAATGGATAAGGTCGACAATGCTGAAACAAGCCACGCGAAGGGAAAATGAACTGAAGATCGTGAAGAGTCTGAAATGTCCAAGCAAGAGCAATATGAAGAAAGAGAAAAGACTCCATTCCAACATTCGTCCACGGGAATGATCCCCATTGGTCAGCTGAAGGATTTTATAATGGGGACAATTAAGGACAAACTTGATGGTGGTGCCAAGGCAACCCACAGCTACGTCAAGCCATATTCACCAAGGATCGATAACTTGAGGATGCCTGTTGGATATCAACCTCCCAAGTTCCAGCAGTTTGATGGCAAAGGCAACCCGAAGTAACATATAGCCCACTTTATTGAGACATGCAATGATGCGGGAACCCATGGCTATCATCTCGTGAAGCAGTTTGTTCGTTCACTCAAAGGGGTTGCATTCGACTGGTACACTGATTTGGAAGCAAACTCCATCGATAGTTGAGAGCAAATGGAGCACGAATTCCTTAGTCGCTTTTACAGCACAAGACGTACGGTCAGCATGATCGAGCTCACTATATCTCGACAATGGAAGGAGGAGCCAGTCATCGACTACATCAATAGATGGAGGAACTTAAGTCTGAATTGCAAAGATCGTCTGTCTGAGGCTTCTGCCATTGAGATGTGCATTCAAGGTATGAGTTGGGGTCTTCGTTACATCCTTCAAGGTATTCGGCCGAAAACATTCGAAGAGTTAGCTACTCGAGCCCACGACATTGAGCTAAGCATGGCCGCAAGCGGAGCTAATGGTCCTTCAATCCAAGAACCCCAAAGCTCGAAGGATAGATACGAGCAAAAGAAAGGGGGCAAGTTTTCTTCGAAATATCAAAGTAGGAGTCCATGACGATCAATGTTATGCCTGTCAAGTTCAAAGGAAAAGCTACTGATAAAGCCATTGAAAAGAAGGATGTCCCCAAGGAACCTGAACAAAGAAGATTGACTCTGAAAGAAATGCAAGCAAAACAGTACCCATTCTTTGATTCAGACGTCTCTGGCATATTTGACGATCTGATGGAAGTTTTCATTGAGTTACCCGAGATGAAGCGTCCTGAAGAAGCCAGCAGGGTGAACGACCCAAAATATTACAAATATCACCGTCTTGTAGGGCATCCAATTCATGATTGCTTCGTATTCAAGGACAAGGTTATGCAGCTGACACACCAAGGAAAAATCTCACTTGAAGAAAGTAGTTCAACTGCTAATCATATAAACGAAGCTTGCAACATGATAAATGAGCATGAAGCTCCGCTAGAAGAAAACAATCTGCCCGAGGTTGAAAATCCCCATGTTGGTAATGATTCCATGATGGTCTTTACTGACGAAGATCTGCTGCTTGGTTCTAAGCCTCACAACAGACCGTTGTTCGCGGCTGGCTATGTGCAAGAGCAAAAGGTGAACCGAATATTGATTGATAGAGGATCAACAGTCAACATCTTGCCTCTTCGCACGCTGAAAGAGCTAGGAAGGACTACCGAAGAACTTGGTAATAGTCGATTGATGATTCAACGCTTTAACCATGGGGGGCAAAGAGCTCTTGGCATCATAAGGTTGAGGTTACTGATGGACGATATGGAGTCAACTGTAATGTTTCATGTCATCGATGCAAAAACTTCTTACAACATGCTACTTGGTCGTCCATGCTTCACGAGAATGGCGTATGTAACACCCCGCTACTTTAAATATATCAGAGTGCGCGATTTTTCGCAAATTTCTGAATACTTAAACAAAATACTTATTTTTGCGAAAACTGATCGGGATGCTACCGTGAAAACTTGATTTTTTGAGAACCGTCTAAAAATTTAAACTGATAAATAAAAACGGTCATAATGTCTTATCCGACAAACATCGGAACAAAGTCTGATAAAAGTACTGAAAAGTTTTAGCGGAAGTCTAGCGTGGTTTAACATAAAATACATTAATCATAAATGTCCTGAACAACTCGCCCGCTCACTCCTCGTCTCCGACCCTGCGACCTGAAAAAAACATGAAAGGTGTGGAGCGTGAGCACTAAGGCACTATGCTCCGTAGAAACTCATGCTAATGTACAACATCGTAAATAATAACATGATCATGA